TAAATTTTATATATTGAGTTACAGAAAATAGACTGATTTATTAATTATTTTAATGCACTCAGAACATTTTCTCTCGTCACGTTATAAATAAAAATATAAAATATGATGAGCTGGTCTGCTACATGTTATTGCAAAATCGCATAGATCAAGAGTTTACACATAAATGTTTTTAATAATTTCCTTTAACCTTGTCTATTGGACCTCTGCCATGATACTAGGCTTCAGAAACGTCATAAGCAAGATGTCTACATCCTGTTGAATATGAAATAAAAATTCTTTATTTATATTCTTTCGCGAGCTTTTAAGGGGGAACCTGGTTTATAAGGTCAAGATTTTCGAACTTTCTTTTTTTTTGCTTAATCGATAGTTAAACTATTCAAGAATATATTCCCAAAGTTTCAGAACCCAATTCAAAGTATTTTAAAAGTTATAGAATACATGGTGAGTCAGCGTCGCGCAAGTATACGAGCGCTCGGCCGGAGTGGGCCGCGCGCTCACCCAATACAGATACGTGCTATATGCCGGCACGATATTTGATTACACATTCCTATAGATTGTCATGTAGGTGTATGAGTGTATGCGTGTCTATGTGTACGTACGTGTGTATAGTTTATAGTTTCAACGATCAGTCTTGCTCTGATTTTCGACGAGTAAAGAGTTTCTATTTAGCAAAAGTCGTTTGACAGTTTTAAATATGTATCCAAACCGCTCAAGAAGTACTTCGCAGCGCATTTCGAAACCGCCGAAAAGAAGATTTCGTGGTAACCAGCATTCCAAGAATGAAAGTGATAATTTAGACAAGAGCATCAGTGCGAAAAAATTAAGTACAGCGAGTACTGATAATATTATTGTGAATCCATTACATTATTATAGAATCATAGAAAAAGAAAAACTTATAAGTCCGTTTTGACTTTGAATCCGTATGGCGAAGATTGCCCCGTAAAAAAAGTGAGTGCGTCGGACACGTTCAGAAGCGGATGAGGACACGGCTTCGAAATTTAAAAAAAAGGAGAAGCTTGGCGGCAAGGGAAGATTGACCGATCTCGTCATAAAAAAATTAACCACTTACTACGGTTTAGCCATAAGAAATGTAGATTCTGTGGGTGATATGAAAAAAAAGCATAATGGCAACACTCTACCACTATTGTTCGACCGATGAAAGGCCGAAACATGGAAATTGCCCGCAGGCGCCGACAGTTGGTGCGAGTGGCGCAAAGCTGAAGCCGCCGGTCAACTCGTAAACTATAAACATCCTGCTCCAGTTATAAAGCCTGATATTGAGAAACACCTTACTTCGATCTATGAAGATCTTTCCAATGAAGAACTTTTGACTAGATGTTTAGGCGGGCACACACAAAATTCCAACGAATCCTTCAATTCTACTATGTGGCGTATCGCTCCCAAACACCTCAATTCGGGCTCTAAAATTGTTCAAATCGCTGCATATTTAGCTACTGGCATCTTTAATGAAGGCTACACTGCCATTTTATTAGCAATGCAGTTATTAAAAATCAATATCGGCCAGCAATGTAAAATGTTCGCTGATAATTACGATGCGCAGCGAGTTACGAGAGGGGAGCGGCGCCGAAGCAGCACGACCAAGGAAGCTCGCACAGCTCGTAGACTGAAGCAAATGCAACGAAACGAGTTTTATGAAGAAGCTGAAGGCTTGCAGTATGCCCCTGGTATAGCTGATTAGCATAAGATTGCGGTAAGTCTCCAATAAATGATATTTTTTTGTACCACAAACTTTAAACGCGTTTTTCTCGAAATATCATTTTCGTACTTTCTTAAAATCTGCGGGAAAGATAGAGAAAAAACTAATTGATCAATCGACTTGATTCAAAGTGCGTTAGCTAGAGAATGAACAACTATTCTATGTGAACCTCAAACATTGGTAAAAACATTAATTTAAATAATTGTTATTGCATAAAAACGGAGGAAATTTTTTCTCAAAAATGTCATTTTTTTATTCGAGTGCTAAAAAGTTTTGTATTTTACGGTTTTTTAACCATGTTGTTAGTTCACATAGAATAAAAATATATGAAAATTAATAATCTTTTTGGTTTTTTTGTTTCAGATCAAAATTGCAGGCTACATTTTTCCCGCAGATTGGCAATTCGGTTAGCGAGGCGCTTTGGTTAGAGATACACCATGGCGCCATTTTGCAATTATTTTACAATATAAAATTTTTTTTTACATCTTCAAATAGGCAGTTAAATATTATAAAAGTTTTACGAACCTCAACTGCATCATTGTCAATAAAAAAAATTCAAAAATTTCTCCTTTTTTTTAGCCTCTTAAACCAGGTTCCCCCCTTAATTCGTGACAGCAGACAGTAGACAGTAGATTTTTGTAATTATATCCATAGGATTTTCATGTCATCTGATATCACTGTTGAAGACGACATTTAAAGATACAGGATGTTTCTTTGGTAACTCATGTAGCGATAACCTATGGAGGCATAGAAATGATTAAAACAAACATAAAAATCTCATACTATTTTGCAATATTCGTAATAATTATTGAGTTTAATTTGAGATTAATTATAAAAATCTAACGAATAAGCACACGATGAGATGGATTATTGGAGAAACATTGTAGCCACTCGGGCACGAGCGTAGCCCAGTCGATCTAACAACTATTGCCGGCGTGCGGCGAGACGTAGAAACGGTGAAATAAGCCTAGTGTATAGCCGAGAATAGCGACGCACACATACACAGTGTCCTTTCCCTCACCGCGCGATGGCAATAATTGCCTGATCGACTGGATCACGCTTTTCTCTAATGGCTGCAATGCTTCTCCAATCACCCATTTTGTCGCGCGCACACTCGTCAGATTTCTGATTAATAACTTGATAATTATTGCGAATATCGCAAAATAGTATGGAACCTTTATGTTCTAATTATGTTTTAATCAATTTTATACCTCCATTAACTATGGTTATACAAGTTATATATAAGTTATCAAATGGTTATATAAATCAACAATATTCTACATACATAATTATTGTATACCATACAGGTATTAACCTTTTGACAAGGCGATGACGCCAATTAGAAAATCGTTTTTCGAACGAGTCATAGTGCGTTCGATAGCTTGTATGTAGGTGATGAAAACCCTAGAGCCGTTCGTGCCAGTGCGCCTTTGTTTAAGGGAATTTAAGAGACAAAGTTAGGGTCACGCAACTACGTCGTACTATTTCGCATAAGCAGAAATTTACAACCTCTTTTGAGTAAGCGGCGTAGCTGAGGGGACTAAGGCTCCCACACATAGATTTTTGCACCGGCGGCGAGTGTTCGGATCCCACCGACGACTGCTTCACTTCATGGTTTTTTTTCTTTTTTTCTTTAATTTTCGACGTATAGTAATACGTTATTAATAATTATTTATTTATTTTTTAATTTATTTCGTTTTTATATAAAAAAATAAGGACATTTCGGGATATTTGAACGCAATAAGAAATAAAAAATATAAATCATATGAACTGATTATATATTTTTCAAGCAACGTATAAATTTTATACATGTCAAAATCAAATACAAACTTTATAAATGTCTACATATTATAAAATGTTTCCATCGCTTCGCAGTGTTGTGGATGAAAATTCATGCAAACACATTGGAAACATAAAACTTTGTCGCACCACGAACATTTTATAAACGAATTATGTTGTTCACATACGCATTTTTTATTATAAATATTTGGAGGAAAGCATAGTTGGTTAACATTTAGAAACATTTCTCTTTCGTCAGCTAATTTGGACGCATACCATGCATATTGAAGCATACATTTAAATCTTGGTGCTGATAATAAATAATGAGTTAATGATTGTATACGAATTGCATCAGCACGAGTATTTCATTGTTTGCTTTCGTCACCTGATTGTGCAATTACATCTGGACAGTTTTGTATTTTTTTTATTATAATTTTCACTTGTCTGTAAAAATAAACATCGCATGACTGACATATCGGAGTACATTTTGGTGGTATAATTTGTAAATTACATGTTGGTTCTTTATTTTTGTCGCGAAATATTTCGTTATACATTTGGATGTTTTTTTGTCCTCCCCAGGAATCTACTATAAATAAAAACAAATTATTTCCGACATACGGCTTAACAACATTTTTAAAATACTATTCATATAATGACGTTGTTAATTTGTTCGAATTGAAACATGTAATGACAACATTTTTGCATAATTTTAATAATTCATCCACATCTTTTTGTACACGTGCTCCAAAATTATCAGAAAATTCTTGCAAACAAACAAATACTTTATTTAATATCTTCCCAAATTTTGTCAGCGAGTACTGGGAGGTATATGAATGCGAAATTTTATTTAAATCTCCGATGTATAATTGAACTAATTTTTGCCCAGTGTGCGTGTAAGTTCGCGATACATTAACTCTATACTCCTCTATACTCTATCACATCCTGTTTGATCAATATTAATTACAAAATCGGGGTCGTAATCAGGTGAAATTGCTTGAATTAATGTTTGAAATTCTTCCGCTGATTTTATCACAGCTTCTGGTAAAATTGCTTCTTTTTTAGAAATATATCGGATAACGCGACGATTCGATATCCGATATTCGATAAAAATTGGTCAACCACCATTAGATGCTACGAAATGAAAAACATTTATGTGTTCTTCACTTTCCTATTTGGGCTTATTATATTGTGCGGCTGCAGCTATGACCCACTGTTGCAGCAAACGTCGTGTTACTAATTGATTATTATTTCTTGCTTCTGTGAACCGATCGTTTTACATTAGTTTTACATTAGTTTTTCTGCATTTAATTTGTCTCTAAAAGTGCCGCCTGACAAAACAGCTTTTTTATATTTTGTAACATCAGAAGGATGGTTCAAATACTTTCTAAAATTATGCTTTAATGTTTTGAAAGACCAATTTGGATGTTCTTGAGCTGCTAGTACGATCTTTAATTTTGTATCGTATGGCACTATTTGATGCGTAGCAAATTTTTTTCGGAGGTTCCTAGTCTTCTAAATCATCGGGTATATTCCCACTCGTATTCGGGATATTTTCGTGCATAACCACCTTTTCTCCTTCTTCTAGATAATATTCAATGTCGTCCAAAACTTCATGTTCTCCCACCAGTTTAATAAATTTTTCAAAAAGTTTGCCGCCAGCTAATTTGGCATTGTTCGAAAATTTGCGTGGGGCGTCAGCAAATATTAAATCAAATTGTATAACAATATCTACAAACAATTATTTTACATTATAATTTGAAATATACTGTGACATTGTGAAAGCAGATTTCTTTTTCAATTCGTCATTAATAATATATTTACCACGAAAATATTCGACCACATCCGTCAAATCTTCCTTCGAAATATCGCACTTGGCAAGAACTTGTACATATTTAATGGTTTCATCAGTAATATATGTTGTCTCCATTTCTAATGTTTCGTATCACGTTTTCTGTAGAAATGTTGCCACGAGACTGATGAAATACGTTACAACGTGTGAGAAAATCCCTCCGTAAAAACCGTTAAAAAGATTGAATAGAGAATAGAGAATAGAGGGGACCAACAGTCCCTTCTACCTAACAAGATATTTTCTTAAAACGCTTGCCTGTTCTTTGCCTGCGAATCTCAATATATAATATTTCGCATACTATTTTAATAAACATATAAAATGTATCACAACAAAAATAATATACCAACACATAACTGTCAAATGTACATCGATAAACCATACAATGTTTATTTTTACAGACAAGTGAAATTAATTTTCATCCACAATATTGCGAAGCAATAGAAACATTTTATAATATGTAGACATTTATAAAGTTCGTATTTGATTTTGACATGTATAAAATTTATACGTTGCTTGAAAAATATATAATCAGTTCATACGATTTATATTTTTTATTCCTTATTGCGTCCAAATATCCCGAAATGTCCTTCTTTTTTTATATAAAAACGAAATAAATTAAAAAATAAATAAATAATTATTAATAACGTATTACTATACGTCGAAAATTAAAGAAAAAAAGAAAAAAAACATGAAGTGAAGCAGTCGTCGGTAGGATCCGAACGCTCGCCGCCGGTGCAAAAATCTATGTGTGGGAGCGTTAGTCCCCTCAGCTACGCCGCTTACTCAAAAGAGGTCGTAAAGTTCTGCTTATGTGCGACATAGTTGCGTGACTCTAACTTTGTCTCTTAAATTCTCTTAAACAAAGACGCATTTGCACGAACGGCTCTAGGGTTTTCATCACCTACATACAAGCTATCGAACGCACTATGACTCGTTCGAAAAACGATTTTCTAATTGGCGTCATCTCATTGTGAGTGGTATTAACGGATATATGCGTTTGTTAGTTTTTTTCAATCCCACACGTACTGTACTGACAATCATCAATGTATGAGATGAATGCATGTGCATTCCTTAACAACAATAAACAAAAGAAAATTCCATTCATATCTGCTATTTTTTGTCTGTTTCGTTTAACAAATAAGTATTTCGTATCAAAATGTTCGGGTCAATCGAGCAATGCATGATTAGCAAGAATAAAATGTGTTTCTAGAAACATAAAAAAACTGAGAAATATACGATATGAATGCAGAAAACGCGATGTCGATTTTATGTGTTGATAATTTTCTGAGACTTATCATACCAAATGAATTATTAATTTTAGTGGATTTAAAATAAATAGTTTTAATTTTTTCACAAAACAATTGGACCATTTTAATTATATCAATATGTATAAAAGTTTCATTTTTTGCAAAATAAATCTAGTGTAGATATAAAGTATTTATGTGGTTTAAAAATAAGTATTTTGTTCTTTAAAATATAAATTTTAAGTTTTCCATATTTTTTGTTATATTTATCAAGTTAAAATATTCAGATTCATTAATATTTTCAAATTAAGGCTTGTTTTAGATTTTGATGTTTCTAGTACAATAAAATAATTTATGCTCGAAAATAATAGTTTTGCATTATTTAAGTTGGCGTAATTGAAAAATTACAATTATAAATTAGTTGCTCCTTGTATAATCAATCAATACAATCCATACTACGCGAAGAAATTTTCCATCTTCAACAATCGCAACTGCGAGCCACGTGCCTTGTCACAAAGCGTTCCAACCGGGAATATTCAACACTTAGGGTCAATTTAGGTCAAAGGAACTATTGATATGCTCGCTCGATGGCGAAGTCTTTGTACGACATATTGGTTGCTTTCAGCAGAGAAAGCAGCTTCATAAGCGCTTTACGCTGTTGCCAGCTGTTAAAATATTCTGCTGAACGCTATTTTTTAAATATAGTGAAACATACTTTTGTAAACAATAAGACATTTGCAGCACCGCGCGTTTTTGGGGTGAGAATATCCAAAAGTTAAAAAAATTTCATACTTGGGATATAAACATAATCTTCACACAATTTTTATTATATTTTATTATAACGCGGCTTTTCTCTGTTCATTTTATTCAGCATATTTAGACTAAAATGAATGTAAATTTCATTGTATTGGACGAAGATGAATGTTAATGACATAGCAAATATTGTGATAGCAGATGTAGGCCATACATTGCCAGAAAAAAAAATATTTAGACGACGAAATGAAAAATTACGTAATCAAAATTTCTACGAAGTTACAATTCCTCGCTATATAGATATTCAATTTGCCGAACATTTCAGAATGTCACGAGGTACGTTTCAGGTTTGTATTTAATTTAAATATATTTTTCTTAATAATCCCAATCTTATTTTTTATCTGCTGCTTTCATGTGCTTTACGAATTATTTAACATAGTCGCTCCTCATATAAATCGAGATGAAAATGTAAATATTAGGTGCGCAACTAAGTTCCCGCTGTTTTTCAAGAGATGGCTCCAGTAGTAAGTGCTGGTCGATTGTGACATAACCAAAACGTCATGAACCGAGCTTAGACATATGGTAAACAAACCGCTTTGACACATTAGTGATTTTGTTTTTGCGTCATATACTTTTGGTTGTGTGAAAATGTCTGATTTTGTGCCAAATAATCGTCATTTGCGGGAAGTGTTGCTTTTCTTCTTTCATTCGAAGAAAACGGCGGCTGAAGCGCATCGAGAACTCCAAAAAGTTTACGGAGATGCTGCTCTAAGTGAAACAACGTGCCGTGATTGGTTCCGTCGCTTCAAAGACGGTGATTTCGATATTGACGACCGTTCGCGTGATGGAAGGCCAAAAACCTTCGAAGACGCTGAATTGGAGGCATTACTCGATGAGGATCCGTGCCAAACGCAAAAAGAGCTTGCTTCAGCATTAGGAGTTACCCGCCAAGCCATTTCCAAGCGATTGCATGCGTTGGGAATGATTCAAAAACAAGGAACTTGGGTTCCTTATGATTTGAAGCCAAGAGACGTTGAGCGTCGTTTTTTCGCCTGTGAACAACTGCTCCAGCGACAAAAAAGGAAGGGTTTTCTTCATCGCATCGTTACGGGTGATGAAAAATGGATTCATTACAGCAACCCAAAGAGAACAAAATCATGGGGACTGCCCGGTCATGCTTCTACGTCGTCGGCTCGGCCGAATATTCACGCTGCGAAGGTTTTGCTGTGTATTTGGTGGGACCAGGGAAGTGTTATTTATTATGAGCTGTTGAAACCGAACGATACCATCACTGGGGAACGGTATCGAACTCAATTGATGCGATTGAGCCGAGCACTGCGCGAAAAGCGGCCACAATACGAGCAGAGGCACGAAAAAGTGATTCTACAGCATGACAACGCTCGGCCTCACGTTGCCAAACCCGTTAATACCTTCTTAGAAACGCTCAAATGGGAAGTCCTATCCCACCCGCCATATTCCCCAGATATTGCGCCGTCCGATTATTACTTGTTCCGTTCGATGGCACATGGTCTGGCTAATCAGCAGTTCCGCTCATATGAAGACATCTCAAAATGGCTTGATTCGTGGATAGCCTCAAAAGACGAACACTTCTACCGTGACGGTATTCGAGCTCTGCCAGAAAGATGGGAAAAAGTTGTCGCTAGCGATGGGCAATATTTTGAATGATTCATTTGTAACCATTTTTTCACAATAAAGTTGCATTTTCATAAAAAAAAACAGCGAGAACTTAGTTGCGTACCTAATACTAATGCTGGCGGCGCCGTAAATTCTAAAGCTCATAACTCAGACAATTCTCAATAAAAATAGGTCATCAAGTAGTGTTTTGGAAACGTCTCACTATTATCTTTAACACTATGTAATAGAAAATAGGGTGTTCCATTTAAAAAAATCATGTTAGCCTTAACTTCGCTTTGACCCCTCCACTCAAGGTCAAACGGATATGATCATTCAATAGAACTTTTAAAACCCTATAACTTTGGTTAAATATATTTTTCTTAGAAATGTTTCTTTCTCGAGATATTTAACCGTTTCCAGACTTTTCTAACACCCTGTATATTATATCAATTCGCGTAGTTAACTCCTGAATGTAAAGGAAAAAACCGAATATATGCTGTCTTTAGTGCATAAACGAGTAACGTCACTATTGAAACTTGTAACTTCTTCCACGATCTGCATGACATTTAGAATATGTAGATGTAACGTTTCGTATTTGCATTTGTTCGCCACGAATACTTCATAAGAAATATTGTCATAATAATCTGCTAATGGTAAATTAAGGTATTAATAACTGAATGTACCGTACACATCGTATAACTATAAAAATGGGAGAGATTATGGTATAGTAATATATAATGCAAAACATTCTAGCAAGTTTTAATTAGACCATCGATAACTCAGTAGTTTCGTAAATAATATAAGTAACGTACGTACCACGCAAATAGTATAAGTCACATTAATTAAGTAACGATAAATAAAAGCTTGTCAGCGATTTGGTGTAAAGTGTAATTGAAGAATACCACAGTATTAAAATTTGATAATTATCCATAGGCAATGTAAAGCATAAACATAAATATCAAATCCCGAAATTCGTGCGGTATGAGTTAAGAAATGTCTCGTATGGGTTTACATTATAAACTTTGTAAAATAATTTTCATGTTTATTTGACGAATATCTTAATTTTGTCTGAAAAATGGTGCAAATATATAAAAGGGAAAATTTCCATCATGATCATGTTTAATAAAATATCTTGATGTTTTTATAATATCTCACAAGATATATTAAGAGTTACGATCGCATTTATGAAATACGTAAAAGGATAAATAAATCTGCATTGAATGAAAAATGACATTTTTATATAAATTGGCTCAACATTAATGTAATGTGTCTGATTAACAAGTACTATATTATATATATCTATAGAGACATTTGCACGATATTTCTGATTTCTAATGATACGTACATATATAATATATATGTGATATCGAATATTCCAATTTTTATGTCCTCCGACAAAATCTCTAAAACTTCAACACTATGATTACACTAACAAGGGACATTCGGCAACGCGGAAATTCAAAAAAATCTGAAACTCTGCATAATTGTAGAGCAGATATACCTAATAACAAAACAATTTTTCGTTGGTGCCCAAAAACGGTTTTAAGGGTGGAAACAACCCCTTGAACAAAGTTGATTTTTGTCTTTCTAAGCGAATATTATCGAAACTATTAAAGATATGAAAAAATGTTTTAGACAAAAGTTTTATGGTTTTAAAAGTACTTTATTATGCTATATTTAGATTTTTTAAAAATGTAAAATTGTGTATAAAATACTCCCCCTCCTTCTCTTTTTTCAAATTGTTAAAATCAATTGTCCAACCAAAATAAAGCTTATTTTATGACAAATTCAACCATATATAATAACATTATGTTTGGAAAAGGCAATATTGAAAAAAAAATTAAAAATGCTCTTATATATATGCTACGCGTACCAAACTTATGGGTTCGCTGCTTGACGATGGCATTTCTTTCTCCCTCATAATTACTGACTGTAAAAGGTAAGGAAGGAATAAAAACAGGTAATCTAAGAAAAGAATAAAGTTGATGTTAAGAAGTAAGTTGAAGAAGAACAGCATGATAAGGAGGACGCAGAGAGAGTGTATATAACCCTAATATAGATAATCTTTTAAATTCAATTGTAAAGAACAAATAAGGAAATGAATGATATGAAGAAAAAAGGAGAACACACACGGATTTAATAATGAAAAATATAATTTATAAATTTATTCAGTGTACATTTGTGTGTATGTGTTTTGCTTCATTCAGTATATAGGTTTTATTAATTAAGTAGTCGATATAGATATTCGAGTGAAAGATATCTTATATTTTGGTATGGATTATAATATATACAAATTTTACAGGAATTGAGGACAGTAAAATATTATTTATTCTATATAATTATTACAATAATGATATTGCTCAAAGAAATGTTCAAAACAAAAATATTGCTTGCACCATGCACAACGTATAAAAGCCATTTTACCACAAATGCTACATTTTGGTATACGTTTTTCTTCTTTAAAATAACAATAATCGATTGGATTATGAAATTTTTCAGGCCGTGTTGATAAATAACCACTTTTATACCAGCTATATCTAAATAAATTTCGAAATCTTGGAGAAGACAGTTGATTGTGTGTTAAAGATTGCAATTTTATTATGTTATTACGTAAATGTAAATTTATGTCATAATTATTTATAATAACACTATCAGAAAAGCTTCGAACAAAATTTTTCCAGATTCTGAAACCAAAAACATCTAATGGCTGTATAAAAGCAGTTGTTTTTTTTGGTATTGTTAGAATATTTACATGTTTGTCTTTTGGTACAAGTTCTTCCAATTGGTTCGGGCAATGTCCTGTTCATGAATCAAGCAGTAGTATACTTTTCTCTCCAGTGTTTGTTAGATACACTTCTTGGAACCAATTTTTGAAATGTTCAGTTGTCAATTTCCCTGATTTTGAAGCCGCAATGTAAATATTCACTGGTCTAAAAAGAGTTTGTTCTACTTGTGGTCCAAAAACACCAGTAGATTCTTTTAATACTATATACAAAGGCGAAAGGAGATGTCCATCTGCAGATATAATAGGCATAATGGTGTAGCTATGAGTCATAGCAGATAAAGATTGGATAGTAGCTCCAACTGTCTTCACTCCTACATTAGCTAATGTTCTTCCTGCATGTATTTCTAAATTAAAGCCACTTTCGTCCGCATTATAAGTTGATTCAGCACCGATCACATTAATATGTGGCTTTACTGTATTTACAAATTCCTCAGCGTGTTGACGTATAGTTAGATCAGTTAAATGAGAAGACCGCGTTTTAAATGCAGTTATTTTACGTGATGTAATACGATGTGCCTTTTTAAAATTCCATATCCACCAATTTCCTGCTTTAAATGAAGAAAAATCCACTTGTTCCTTTGCTTCTAGTGCCCATTTTCGCAGATTTATATCATGAATAATAAGTCCTCTATTAACAGCTTCTTGGAATTTTATAAGAACATATTCAGCAATAACTACAAGTTTGTCTGTATTTGAACCCCCACGCATTACATGTTCTTGCCATCTGTGCAATTGTTGAATAGATTTACCTAGAAGAAAACGAATCTCAATATTAAACAATTCGAATTCAAAAATAAAAGAAGTTATATACGAATTAAATGTTCACGAAACATCAAATTGTAAAACTTAAAATAAAAAACAACGCGACTCTAACTATATAATTTACAGCTTTAGTCATAAGTATAAAGCATCTCTAACTCATTGTATTTTCCTAGAAATCAATGCATATACTCATAGTAAATATATAATCTCTTTACAATAAATATTATATTAATATTTTATAATATAATGTGTATATTATATTTATGTATATTATATTTATATTATAATTTATATTATATTAATATTATATTATATTACAATAAATATTGTAAAATAAATATTATTTTCCACATATTCTTATATTATATTTTTTTATTATATTATTTTTCCATATACTCGTATACTATATTATGTTCTCCATATATTCATATAGTATGTTTTTGTTACACAATTTAAATAAATTTTTTGGGATGCTTTATACTTATAGTCAAAGCTGTATGTACAATGACCGACAATGATGCGTTCCGCGAGAGGGGAAATAGAGTTCTCTCTGTCGCGGAACGAATCACTGCCGGTCACTGTACACCGTAAAAGCCTCAAGTATTTTACTATATATTATTCTTCTTATTTTTTAATTAAACTTTACTTTTCTAAAACGATGTTGTACAGAAGTAAGAGATAAATGTCCTTTCTTTCCACTCTTCCAAAATTCGATTGCCTTTTTCTTATAATTTAAGTTTACATTTCCACCTTCATCATCCACAGTGCAAACTTCATTTCCATAATTATCTTCTTCAGCATCAATATCGTACACATCTACAAATTGTACGTCATGCGGTTCTGATGGATCGTCAAAATCAAGTCCCCACTCATGTTCGATCGTAATATCGTGATGTATAGCACTCTTTATTAAATCAGTAATTGTATCATGGAGTTCCACCTCTTGATGATTAACAGGAGTTATTGCAATATTTGTGAAATGAAATGTCGCAATTAACAAATTAATAACATTAGCTGGATTTATTACTGACATTATGATACAAATCTTAAGGATATTTTAATTAAACATTTCTCACAGCAATAATAATATACGTACTGCTTCAATAACTGCTTCAATAACACTGAAATGTATTCCAAAATGGACAGCTTTTATATGCAAATGAATGAAGATAACATATGTCAATATAATGAACCTTGATTGCACTGTACTTGATAAAGAGTGCTATTTTGGTCGCACAGTCATAAAACTTGTGACAAGTGTTTTGCATGTTGCCATGATGTACACACACGTGCGCACGTACAAAAACATACATACACACACACACATATTTATTTATATTTACGCGTGTCGTTTAAATTAATGAAAAAGGTAGCCGCAATGTTGGCAAAATAAACGTCTATTACGTGAAATTTTATAATTTATAACATTTTTAAATATTAGTGACTGTATCCTTATCATGCTATTTTTCTCCTACTTACTTCTTAACATCAACTTTATTGCTTTTTTAGATTTTCTATTTTCTTCCTTCCTTATCTTTTACAGTTTGCAATTATGAGGAAGATTTGAGGAAGAAAGAAATGCCATCGTCAAGTAGCGAATCCTTAAGTTTGGTACGCGTAGCATACATATAAGAGCATGTTTAATTTTTTTTTTCAATATTGCCTTTTCCAAACATAATGTTATTATATATGGTTGAATTTGTCATAAAATAAGCTTTATTTTGGTTGGACAATTGATTTTAACAATTTGAAAAAAGAGAAGGAGGGGGGGTATTTTATACACAATTTTACATTTTAAAAAAATCTAAATATAGCATAATAAAGTACTTTTAAAACCATAAAACTTTTGTCTAAAACATTTTTTCATATCTTTAATAGTTTCGATAATATTCGCTTAGAAAGACAAAAATCAACTTTGTTCAAGGGGTTGTTTCCAACCCAAAAACCGTTTTTGGGCACCAACGAAAAATTGTTTTGTTATTAGGTATATCTGCTCTACAATTATGCAGAGTTTCAGATTTTATTGAATTTCCGCGTTGCCGAATGTCCCTTGTAAGTTACACAAAAAATAAATTTGCAGGACTATTCGCAGTAGCAATGTAATAATGATGTCGTATATAGCAATAGTTACACTGCAAGAAGGAATTATGCAAAATTTATGCAAAGGGACACTCTGGAACGACTTTCACGAACGTTCTTCACGAACTGATTAGAATTCAATAGGCAAGCAAAATTTCATAATATACGCGGTAGAGAATAATGAATATGGGTGAATAAATCGATGACCTGTGGTATAATATTCATATAAATATTCACGATGACTGAACGATGACCATACAGAATTATCAGAGTGAATAATCGTTATTGTTCTCTTAAAAGAACGTTGCAGTTGCAAATCAGACTTAGCTGTTGTAACTCGTGTATCCACAACCTTCTCAACTCATCTATTGATTATCATTTGATAAATTCGCAAACTTTACCACATAAAACACCACATAAAAATTCCCTTACGCTTCAATTAATAAGTTCTTTCTAGTGATTATTACATTTGGCATTTTCATCCTTAAAATCACAATGGATTCGCTGTGTTCGATACCGGCCTTCTATTCCGGAAAAAGCGTTTTCATTACTGGTGCTACGGGGTTTTTAGGAAAATCATTAATAGAAAAACTGTTGAGTCGTGTCCTGATATAAAAGAGATATTTCTGTTAATGCGCCCGAAGAAAGACGTGAATATAGAAGAACGCCTCCGAAAGCTGCTGACCAACCCGGTAAATTCACTATTTATAATTGACAATGTCGCAAAGTATGATTTTCATCATGTGTTGTGTTGTGTGGTTTAGTTGTTTCATACATTGCGGCGTGAGCAACCCCATTGTTTCGACAATTGATTCCCGTAAAAGGTGACATTGCTATTGAGAATCTGGATTTGTCAGACACCGATAGAAACATGCTAATCCAGAAGACGTCTGTAATATTCCATATAGCGGCGAACGTGAGATTCGATATTACTCTGAGAATGTCGGTGCTCCAGAACGTAAAAGCTACAAGAGATATATGTATTTTAGGTGAACATATGAAGAATCTAGTGGTAAGTAGATACTATATTAAATTTAAAGGCATGTACTTGCATACGTATGTGTGAAGGAAAGAGAAAATTGCGATGTAAATTTTTTCTTATATTGGAAATTCCGATATTTTTTTTATAAAAATACCAATAAGATACTTAACTAGAAAATTATCAGACATTATTATGTATATGTATTTAACTGTATTCCTTAAAGGCTCTCGTGTATGTCAGCACGGTATACTCACAACTCGACAAACACGTTATTGATGAAATCGTGTATCCAGCGGAAGTCGATTGGAAGAAAATGATTCAAGTCGTCGAGACTTTGGACGAACAACTGTTGGAAGTGTTTAAGTCAAAGTAAGTATAGAAACCGGTATCTACGCTGTATATACTAAGTGCTTCATCGAGGATATCACATATGTATTAGGTGCGCAACTAAGTTCTCGCTGTTTTTTTTTTATGAAAATGCAACTTATTGTGAAAAAATGGTTACAAGTGAATCATTCAAAATATTGCCCATCGCTAGCGACAACTTTTTCCCATCTTTCTGGCAGAGCTCGAATACCGTCACGGTAGAAGTGTTCGTCTTTTGAGGGCTATCCACGAATCAAGCCATTTTGAGATGTCTTCATATGAGCGGAACTGCTGATTAGCCAGACCATGTGCCATCGAACGGAACAAGTAATAATCGGACGGCGCAATATCTGGGGAATATGGCAGGTGGGGTAGGACTTCCCATTTGAGCGTTTCTAAGTAGGTTTTAACGGGTTTGACAACGTGAGGCCGAGCGTTGTCATGCTGTAGAATCACTTTTTCGTGCCTCTGCTCGTATTGTGGCCGCTTTTCGCGCAGTGCTCGGCTCAATCGCATCAATTGAGTTCGATACCGTTCCCCAGTGATGGTATCGTTCGGTCTCAACAGCTCATAATAAATAACACCGCCCTGGTCCCACCAAATACACAGCAAAACCTTCGCAGCGTGAATATTCGGCCGAGCCGACGACGTAGAAGCATGACCGGGCAGTCCCCATGATTTCGTTCTCTTTGGGTTGCTGTAATGAATCCATTTTTCATCACCCGTAACGATACGATGAAGAAAACCCTTCCTTTTTTGTCGCTGGAGCAGTTGTTCACAGGCGAAGAAACGACGCTCAACGTCTCTTGGCTTCAAATCATAAGGAACCCAAGTTCCTTGTTTTTGAATCATTCCCAACGCATGCAATCGCTTGGAAATGGCTTGGCGGGTAACTCCTAATGCTGAAGCAAGCTTCTTTTTGCGTTTGGCACGGATCCTCATCGAGCAATGCCTCCAATTCAGCGTCTTCGAAGGTTTTTGGCCTTCCTTCACGCGAACGGTCGTCAACATCGAAATCATCGTCTTTGAAGCGACGGAACCAATCACGGCACGTTGTTTCACTTAGAGCAGCATCTCCGTAAACTTTTTGGAGTTCTCGATGCGCTTCAGCCGCCGTTTTCTTCGAATGAAAGAAGAAAAGCAACACTTCCCGCAAATGACGATTATTTGGCACAAAATCAGACATTTTCACACAACCAAAAGTATATGACGCAAAAACAAAATCACTAATGTGTCAAAGCGGTTTGTTTACCATATGTCTAAGCTTGGTTCATGACGTTTTGGTTATGTCACAATCGACCAGCACTTACTACTGGAGCCATCTCTTGAAAAACAGCGGGAACTTAGTTGCGCATCTAATATATCTGATAAATTTAAAATATATAATAAAATGAGGTAATTATGTTCTCAAATCGTTAGCAAATTTAGTTGATTTTCACTAAAGTGATATGTTGCATCAAAACGATCGCTTATGACAGATT